ATATAGTAATAAAAAAAGAAAGAAAATAAAACTCCTAATGTAGCTAATGGAAAACAAAACAAGAGTTTACACAACAAAGAGCCATTAATCAATATCTCACATCTCAAACTAAAATATAAAACTAATTTCTAGATAGTAATGCAATGTTTACATGGCTTTAAAATTAACTGATGAGCGGCAGCATTTCAAATAAAAACAAAAAACAATCCAGTCTTCGCACAGCTGTATTGCAAAATAAAAGTACATGGCTCAAGAATCTTGATTTCATTTTTTGTGGTCATAAAAACTGGCTTTATTATACGCTATTGCAACACATATTCACCCCTGAGCAAAATCCAACAAGCTAATATATAAAGCAAAGGACAGAAATAAGAAAAGTGAAAAAGCCGCTGGTAATAAAAGTGGTTTTAAACTCAAAACAAGCAAATCAAACGAACTTTCTGCACAGTTTCCATCCCGTCTACTCAAAACAAGTGAAGAAATCAAATAATTATTGCATATGCAAATGAATTTTTCACATCACGCTCCAGCAGTAAGGATAGATGTCCTGTTAAACGGAGTTAATGCTCAGATGGGTTTGGTTGTGCTGTTGTAGACGAGTTTCTCTGAATCCTCGTAGCTGTGAACATGACCACCGTTAACGGCCACATGCTGATGTTTGTTTCTGCGCTTCTTCTTTCCCTTCAGGAGGCAACATGCGATAACCACCAGCAGGACGGCGATGGCGAAGCCCAGGATGATGGCGATCACGATGGCAGCTGAACAGAGACACGACAGTCACGTTACGTCAATGCATCTGGACATGTCAGCAGAGTCAAACAAAGGTACTACAAAGCAACGCAAAGATCTACTGAAGATTTTTTCCCAAGGAAATTTAGTTTAAGGACACTAGTGCAGCAGAAATGACATTTAAATAAAACATTATTACTACACAAGCCAGAGTGGGGTTATTATTATTATTATTAACTAAAGCTATAAAACATTTTTGGTTGCTAAATGAAAAACTGTAATCATAATAATAAATGTATTATATATAATATATTATATGTGACCCTGGAGCACAAAACCAGTCATAAGGGTCAATTTTTCGAAATTGAGATTTATACATCATCTGAAAGCTGAATAAATAGCAAATGCGCAAAGCTGACCTCATACGTCATGCTCCCAGAACTGCTTCAGTGTACAACAGTGAGCTGCAAGCTAGATTAAAGTGATTATTATATTTTGAATATGGATATTTTTCTTACAAAAACGCATGGATTCGCTACAGGAAGCCTTTGTTCACCCCCCGGAGCCGTGTGAGACACTTTTTTTTTTTTATGGATGGGCGCATTTTATTTAACTGCTTTTGGACTGAAGCATGCAACACCCGCTGAGTGCCATGAAACAGCTTGAAA